GTGTTGGCGTCCAGCACCCCGGCGCCCTGCATCCACGTCCGCACCGCGTTCATGCCGCTGCCCAGCGGCTCTTCCTTCATGCTGCTTCCACTCCGTTGGATGCTTTCCTGAATCCCAAACATGAAAACAACCTTTTCTTGTGGAAAATCTCCTCCCCCTTGAAAATATTAAAAAAAAAAAAAAAAAAAAAGGAAAGAAAAACGCCGGCCAGAGATTTTTTTTTTTTTAAGACGGTGAACTCGCGTTAGAAGATCAAGGCGGGCTAGAAAGCAAATTTTTAAAAAATGTAAACCGTCGCTCAAAACTGAGCGATAACCCGGAAAAAAAGGCAGAAAAAAAAGAAGGGAAAATCCAACGAAAAGACCAAAAAAAAAAAAAAATGAGATGTATGCTTGGCTGTTGGGGGTTGTTTGGTTGGTTAATTTTTGGTTTGGGTGCTTTTTTTTTTTTTTTTTTTTTTTTTTTTTTTTTTGTAATGATCACAGGCCGGTGGAGGGCAGGAGGGGCTGGAGTTTCCTTTTGCAGAGGTACCCTTCACTTGAAGAAGCAGGAAGAAAAAAAAAAAGCCCTGATGGCAATTTAAGAAACAATAGACTCAACTCGCGCTGCCGGCTTTGCTACTTCAAGTGTCATTTTCCACAACCAGGCAAGTTTTTTTCCTCTTTCTTTTTTTCCCTCCTTCTCTCCCAACCAAAGATGTTTCTTTCCTTCAGTGCGTATAGACGAGGAGGACGCTGGTTGCCGTAGACAGATACACCAGAGAGGGAGATTGGGATGGGGGAAAGGGGGGAGAAAGAGGGAGAGAGGAAGGGGGGGAGGGAGAGAGAGAGAGAAGGAGAGGAGAGGGAGAAAGAGAGAGGGGTGGACCCTGCTGGATGGAGATTCTGTTTTCTCCTCGCTAAAATAGAAGTGATTTGCAGGCTTTCCCTATGGAATCCAGTTTGACTCTCCCCAGAGCTAAACACAGGCACACTAACCCCAAAGGGAGGAGGCGGGGCCCGCGCCTCCCAGGCCCGCCCCCTCATTTGCATAACGTCATTCTTCCGCCTCGCCGCAGCCAATCGCGACTCAGGAGCCTGCTGGCTCGCAGTGCGGGACCACGCTCCCTCATTAACATCCCTCTCCCGGCGGCTCCCGGGAGCCGGCCAAAGTTCCTCGCAAAGTGGCGAGCGAAGGACCGCTGAGCTTCAGCGTCTGAGCTGGAAGGAGCGGGGCTGAGCGGGGCAGAGCCGGGCCAGAGAAGGGGGACAGAGGAACGGGTGGGGATATTCTTCTCGGGGATTTGAGCTGGGATCTGCATCCTGGCCGTTGCGGTTTAGCATCCTCGCCGCGCCCTGAGCGCGCTGGCGGAGCCCAGGCTGCGCCCTCCCAGGGCCGCTGCCGGCGTCCTGCTCTGCTGTTCTGGGACGTCGGGGGCAAAAGTGGAGGAGACGGGAGATCCCGGGCAGAAAAAGCAGGACGCGCGTCCCAGGTGCCCACCTCTTCGCTTTGAGGAGGGGGGTGGTGGGGTGGAAAATGGGTGCTGGAGGTCGGGGCTGGTAGCTCGCGGAGGGTACTGCCTTCACGCTGGGGAGGGGTGGAGGGTGGGGGGCGGGCTCTGCCCCTAGTCTGGCCTCTGCAAACGCTTCTCACTTGGGCGCGCTAGTCTTGAGGCCGCAGGCTTTAGAGGCACTGTCCTCATATGCTCACCTCCCTCGAGTAATCCGCGGATATGTAAACGGTGGAATGAAGGCTCTCACTGGAGCTGTGTCAAGATGCCTCTTAAAATTGACTCCGATTTGATCCCCAGCCCCTCACCCCCGCCCCCAAAGTAGTTTTCCTTTAGAGTAACTACCAAAGCAACAACAAGGCCTCTGAGTAGTTGTTTATTTGGTGTAGGGTTTCTCTCATCCTCATTTTTTTTTTTTGTTAAAATGGGGGCGGGCTTGAACAAACCCTCCCCAAATTCTGCCCCTGGCATATGTCAAGAGAGAGACTGAGGAAAGCAGGAAAGAAGGAAGGAAAGATCTCCTACCTCAGGCCTTTGGCATGTATGCTTGAGGCTGGCAAAGGAAATAGGTAGATGTTTCTGGGTAATGTGCCCCATCATTTTTTAGCAGGTTGTAACCTCTAATAAGCACATGATGAACTTCTGTTTCATTGCCCTCAAAGGAACTCCCTGGCTGCAGCCAAATCTGCTAAGGACTCCTTCGGGGAAATTCTTTGCCAGAAATCCGGGTCCCCTTTCTGCTGGCCTTGCTTGGCCCTTTGATTTAGGAAGCTCATGGGGTCAGTGATGGAAAAGTACACATGCCCATGTTGAATGGAATGGAGACAGGCAAGAGTTATGCTTTGTACTCTTGGCAACGCAGGAAAGTGGGAGCCACTTCCTGATTCCCAAACTAGATGAAAGCCTGTGTTCCAGGCCTATGAGTACATGGCCACTGTCCTCAAACACTGCTTTATCTCCTATGCACAAAGCCTCCCAGCTCTCAGACCATCTAATCAGGACCACTAGCATGCTCATCCCTTTCTCCCGGGTACCATAATTCATGCCATCTCTTCCAAGACACTCCTGAAGAGCTCTGTCTAATCCACCAGGATTCCCACAGCATCTACCAGAGTTCCTGGCACACAGGGGTGCTCAAGAGGGACATGTTGGTGCAGAGAACTGAAGGATTATAGGTTTGTGGGGAGGAAAGAGAGGGAGTTGGACCTTCTCCATCTCTTTAGAATTTAAATACATAATTGAAACTGGGCCTGCTGAAAACTTCCCAAAGTTCCAAGCTTAATCTCAAGGCCCAAAGGGTCCTCAAGAGCCAACCTCTCCCCCTGCCTGCTCTGAGGGGATCCTTTAAGGGAGGGGGACCAGGAAGCAGAGGCCACTGTCCTATCGCTGAGTCCCAGATAGCCCTGGTGTAAGACCCAGGCCTCCCTCTTGGTAATTACCTGAGCCTCCATTTTACTCTGCAGTAAATAGTATTCAGGACTCCAAATCAAGTTGGGTGAGGAATATACCCCAGTGATAGGGAATACACAATGGGGGACAAGATCACTGCCAAAGGCAGGTGATAAAGGTGCCAGAGAAAGGAGAGATCCAGTCTCTCTGAGGACCAGGATCATGAGGCACAACAGATGGATTGGGGGGGGGGGGTCGAGAATATAGCAGCACTCGGCACTCCACAAATGATGGCTTTGTTGAGGGGTCTGAAGCTGCCTGGTTCAAAAGAGAAATTGGTCCGGAGAAATCGAAGCTTTCAGCAGCCCAATTCCTGCCCCAGAGCCAGTCAGCATTAAATAAGAAGAGGCAATCTCCATATTTGCCAGGCCATAGAACAGCGGTTCTCAACCTGTGGGTCGCGACCCCTTTGGGAAAACATATATAATTACATATTGTTTTGTGATTAACCATTATGCTTTAATTATGTTCAATTTGTAACAATGAAAATACATCCTGCATATCAGATATTTACATTACGATTCATACCAGTAGCAAAATTACAGTTATGAAGTAGCAACAAAAATAATTTTATGGTTGGGGGTCACCACAACATGAGGAACTGTATTAAAGGGTCATGGCATTAGGAAGGTTGAGAACCACTGCCATAGAAGGAGGGAAAATATGAGGGGGCGGGAATCTTTTGATAAGTCAGGGGCCCTGTGGCCCTGTGGGGGCAGCAGTGCCTCACCCGGGATGGTGAGCACACTTTATTGTCATCTAGTATAGCCATAGCTTTTCTTCTGGTGTCCTTGTGCTTTCAACCTGGGGTTCTCACCCAGTAATAAGTGTTCAAGTAAGAATTCCTTCCTCCCACCTACAGAGAAGGCAGAAAAGAGACAGAGAAGGATGACACCCAGGCCAGCAGAGCCCTAGATTTTGGTGAATTTCCTCTAGTTCAATATTTGGTAAATATTGAACTCGGAACTGCAATTTTAAACTTTGAAAAAATCCCTTCAACACTTTTGGATCTTCCCTGATGTAAGGTTAGCACCCCCTCCAGAAGGCACAGCATTCCTGGGGGGGAGGGGGGGCGGGACTATAAAGTATGTCCTGGTTTCATGCTTTTCCCGTTATAGCCACATCTCCAGCGAGGAGAGATACTTGTGTGTGTAATCTTGCCCAGGCTTTATAGCATGTCTCTGATGTAACTTTAGGGTAGCTTGTAACAGTCATCCCCAACCCCACTCATCAGCCGGATCATATGGGAGGGTGGGATAGACAGGCAGATTTCCAGGTTTTGTCCAAACCTGCAGAATTCGGGGGGAAGAAAGTGTGTTGGGGGGGAGGGGAACCTGTGCATGAGAAAAATATACAGCAAAATGGGTTTATACGTGGAAGAAGCAAAGGGAAGGGAAGGCTTGATATTTCCCCCCTGGACTCAATTCTCCAGCTGAGCTCCTCAGAGTTTCTTCCCTGGTAGAAGTGAGCGTCCTCAAAACCCCTCCTTCTCAGTTGCTCCAAGAAGTAGATACGGCTGCCCCGCTC